ACGATCCATAAGATCAAAGAAATTCAATATTGCATTCACCAATGTAGTGATATATTACTCCACATAGGATATAATATAAACCATCTTTCAGGCAGGCCTGCACTAGTCAACTGCCATTTTGTTTCTTTACGGTCTATATCCTATGTATAAAAACAACCTGATAAAAACCGTGTCCATAAGGCAATGATAGAATCTCCGTAAGGAGTTTAGTGGCTTACCTCTTCTGTGCTTGGTAGATTGCCTATTCAAGATATTACATTGGTATGCCCAAGTCCCTTGGGTGAGAGAGGTTGTTTCTCAGGTCTTGCCAGAGTAGGTGGAGTCCTGTCATGTCCAGGTTTCTCCCCCCAACTGGAGAGCGATGCCACTGTTGGCTATGCATCCCTGAGTGTTGATTATGCCTGCTATATTGAGTCACATGGAAATCAGAGTAATTTGTCTTCCAAAAGAGTGACTGGATGAGAGGGGAAAAAACCTTGTAGAAGCTCTGTTCATGAGGCAAGAAACTTTACCCTTGGGAGTTGTTTTTTTTTTTTCCCCAACTGGCATGAACAGCAGCATAGATGGTCACAAGCAGGAAAGCCACAGGGATCAGAGAGATCAAGAGGGATGGGTAACATTCTATTGGGAGAGGCACAGATGGAAATAAGGAGCCTTTGCCTGCTGGGCAAACGGGAGAGGGGCCATACTCCCTTCTCAATACGCCTGCTGCATACTTCCTAAGAGTTGTCCTTTATAGAACAACCATAGAAAGGCAATTACTTTATCTCTTCCATCAGTGCACACATTACCCACCATCAGCAGAGTTTGAAATTTCTAGAATCTCCTTGCTCCTGTAACTAGCTCACTGCAACTCCCAGAAGTCTGAAGAGCAATCAAGAGGTTAAATTATAGACACCCTTTTGTGTAAGTGTATGGCCATATAGGCCTTATACAGGGAGGTTGATCTCACACTTTGATGTTCACATCTAAAATACCTGTGATGCCATGTTTGTAATAAGCATGGGGTGGGTATTCTAAGCATAAAGGAGTAGAGGCATCCATTGGGACAATATCAGAAATAGAATACAAGCCCTATGGCCTTCTAACCCATCTAGTCATGGACTGCATGGAGCACTAGATCCAACATCCCTTTCATCCTCTGCAAAGGATTCTGGCTGTTACTCAGGCAAAGCTCATACAATGTTGACAACCTTACCTTCCTAATCAGTGGATAGTGTTTAGACATACCAACTGTCTGCTCAGCTCCCAAAGCTACATCCTAGGTGGTCACTTAAGCCTTCATACACAAAAAAGGACCCAATAAGGAAGGTCAAAGTGAGCACAGAAAAAAAAAGGATCCTTTGAGCGAGTGGACAGCTATCCCATTCAGAGAAAATGGGAATCTAATGCATTTCCAAGCCAATATCAGTCACAAATTAAATTAAAACAAAAAAGGTGAAAGACTTCAACTGGGCTTTATAGTCATTTGTTTTGAAGCCCAATTTGGGTAGTAAGGGGAAGGATCTAGCAGAACAAAGGTTTAGAAGATGTCAGAATTAGATTGCCCTGGGCCTTCATTTTTTTTACCTACTTCCTGCCCAGGTGAAGGGTATTCAAAAAGTGAGGATGAACAGAAGTTATACAGAGTATAAAAGTGAAAATCTGACAGAAGTGCAAACGCACATTGGCTCTGAAGAAGAGGAGTTTTCCTCAAAACGCGTCAGCCACCAGAGGCTTCCAGTCTCCCACCAGACCATCCACAGGGGTTCCTGTACCATACTGCTAGCTTGTGTGTGACATACTTCCCGCGTTTATCTGATTTTACAACATTTTTGTGAGTATTCACTTAATAAATCCTATTTTTAAGGTAATGCACTAGGCCTGTGTGCTCTTTGTATTTCATATTCAAAAAGTGAGGTTGAACAGAATTTATACAGAGAATAAAAGTGAAAATCTGACAGAAGTGCAAACCCCTTCCCTACTCTAAAAAAAAAACAAAAACAAAAAACTTTAAAGACCAGTCAAATCTTTCCTTTGTTTCGGTTAGCCTTCCAAGGGAAGTGCATTATACCATTCTGATGGCACCATTGAGGTTAAAAAGGCACCTCATGTTAATGCTGGCTGTAACTTCTCCCAGTCTGAAGCCCAATTTATGGGCATTCTTGTGTGGGGAAGGGGATAGATACACAGCCAGCACCAAGCCCCTACATAATCTCCAAGTTAACGGTTTTTAGTCATGAGCAATCAGTGCCGCAGGGCTGTCAGACAGAGCTACCTGCTGCTCTTTGTACATACTGGGCACAGGCACCTCTGTCACACAGCCCTGAAGGTGCCGCTTATTCAAAGATCAGTCTATTCAAAGTAAAACAATTCAGTACCACATAGGATGTGATCTATCTGCAGCTGCTTGTAAACAGCCCCCACAGCACTGATCAATGTTTTTGGAGGCTGGTGCCATGTTTGACCAGCCCCACTCAGATGCAGAGCTGTGTGATCGATCTGTCAAGATTTTGTGATTTACAAGCAGCTGCAGATCTGTTGTGAATGGCAGTCCTGGTCCCCTTCTGCCAAAGACCAGCATCACTTTTCACTACACAATTCAATCTCCTTGCTAGCAGTGTTTTTATACATAAAAAATACTCCTGTGCTACCTTTAGTGTCACTATATAGTTGGTTAGATATATAGTGAACTGCTGCTAGCATCAAAAATTCTGTTCTTACAACATAACTGGAAATTGTGTTGGACAGCAGGGACGCATGCGCAAACTGTCAAAACCATGCACTTGGTCCGATTTACATCGGTCCTGCTGTTGCTCCATATGCACCTATTCTCTGTAGGGATTGAATAAAAAAAAAGTTAAGACTTTCAAGCAATGATTTAAGTTCACCTTTGGAACATGTTATATAGGGTGGAACTTGTAACAGGGTTCCAGCTCCCACCTCCTCTCCTAAAAAAAAACCCTCCTACAGTGACAGTGGGTGGGGAATCCTCCCCTCTGCACCCAGTCACGGTTTAAAAAAAAACAGCATGGCTGTGCAAGACTCCCCCCCCCCCCCCAGCTTCCTGTGAATGAATGCCTACATGTATTACCAGCCATTGTGGCTAACCGCTTGTAGTTCTTAACGGACTAACAGATTCTCCACCAGTGCCCTTGCCGTTCATAGATTCTTCCTGCCATTCAGTAACTTATCTGCTTGAGAGTCTGCAGGATCTAGGTATTGCACCCGCGATCTGCAGGATCTAGGTATTGCACCCGCGATCTGCAGGATCTAGGTATTGCACCCGCGATCTGCTGATCACAATTGCAATCTGCCTAGTATTGCACCCGCGATCTGCTGATCACAAATGCAATGCCTTAACTGCAGTGTTAAATAAATGCACATTTTTACATGCAAAAAGATGTATATATTTTGTAAAAGGTGAACTTATTCTTTGAAAAGGAAAAGTTCACCTTTTAGACAAATAATTGCACTTTTTTTACCTGCAAAAAAATACATTATTTTGTCTACAGGAGCCCAGAAAGCACTGCACTAGCAATCAGATCGCTGATGCCATGCAGGTCTCCTGTAGACCTGTCAGAATATCCGCTTGCTGTACAGGATGTATGAGCAAGCAGATATATTGACAGGAAGCTTCAATGAACTAACACGGCACTCCACAGCATTGTGGTAGTTCATTGAAAACCACAAGCCATCAGCCAATAAGGCTGTCAGGATTTGCAGTTCATTCATGAAAGTCTGAAAAGGAATGATGCGGCTGTGTGGGCGGAGCACCATGGTTCTCAAATTTGACATTACCGGGAGAAGTCTCCCTGTACTATTTGTCAGAGAAAGGGGGGGGTGGTGGCTGCGGCTAAGGGAACATACTACCCGTTCAACCCTAAAGACGGGCATAACATGTTCCTAAACGTGAACTTATCCTTTAAAAGCCACATGGGTTGTACACCTCTACTGAGTGACTTGCACTGTAAGTAGTAGTAAACCCCAGCCAGCCATTGTGTAACACAGCAAAGCCTGAAACATGTTTATTCCAATGTGGGGAAAAAAAAAAAAATTGAGTTTGACTATGCAAAATAAAAAAGACCACAAAATGAGGATTAAAAGCCGAACTTTATTGTTAACCATTAAGAGCAAAGTACTGTAGTCGTGCACAAAACAAAAAAAACAAAAAAAAATATTCTTTATTTTTAGAAAAAAAATCAAGATTTGGTTAGCAAACCAATTGGAATGGCCTTTGGTAGGTGAACCAGCCAGCAACCCAATGAAGCATCTCAGGACAACATTAAAACAGACAGATCAACAGGAAGGATGAGGGACAAAAATAGGACCAGCACAACATTTTAGTGATCTGCAGTCTAAAGGTAGTGGTTGCTTATAAAGCTTTCATCTACTGGAATGCAATGCTGGTACTTCTGAAACACTAGAGCACTCCACAGGATTTAGAAAAATATATATAAAAATACTAGCAATGGACTTTGGGAGGAGTTTTAAAAGTAGTAATCTGGATGCTTCATGGGGTCTCCTGCTCTCCCATTAAACCCTTATTGCCATCTAAGAAATCCCTTACAACAGTTTAAAGGTAAGGCAGAACATGTAAACAATTACAAGGGGGCACTGTAGCACACGGGAGCATATGGTATACTGTAGAAAGCAGCCCTTTGAGGGCAGGGGATGGCCCTCAACTGTTAGCAGCTATCTTCAAGAGGACTAGATTTTTTTCCTTAAAAAAAGTGCCAGGTTCACTATAAAGCTGCTGTCCAGCATGACTGACCATTCCTCTACCCTCACAATATGACCTAATGCACCCATTCACACTTTGCCCCTTCAGTGCCACAGGGGGGGGTTAATATGGCCATTGCATAAACTCTGAACCAGCTAAGCAGCAAGACCCCAAACCCGAGCTGACCTCTGAAACCCTGTGAAGGGGAGGTTGCAAGTAGGGCAGCTGTACATCGAACACGCACACAGGGGTAAGGGGGGTTTGGAATCAGGATGAGGGGATAACGTTGGGTGGTGGATTAAGGCACAGACACGTGGTATGGGCTTCCTGGAATGTGCTCATCTCCCCATTTGACCACCAGGATGTAATCTCCCTTGTCCTTCAGGAGGTACGTAACATTGTACAACCGGTTTCCAAGATGTTTAACCACAATCTCTTCACATGGGGTTTTTGGTCCATGGACTCCAACAAGCAGCATATTGTTACCTGAATGGGAGGAGAAATTAGCAGAATTAAAACCAAAAATATTTACCAGAAAATTAGAAAAAACAGGCTGCCACTGCTGATAAATTGCTTTGCTGTTCTGTGGACCACCTTATCCACAGTGACTTAAAGGATTAAAAAGTGGAGACGCATGGAAATAGAACAAAACCTAAACGCCCAAACGGTTTCTACAGATACGTTTTACTAATTGACCCCTCCAGGCCAATTCTGACACTCTTCTACATTTAAAAAATCTTATTTTTCCCTAGAAATTTACCCCCTTCTCAGCCTTAGGACATACCTGTACATCCTTGAACAGGAAGAGTGATACCGGTCATCACTGCATTTCCTACAAAGTAAAATTAATCTGAGCAGCTATAACCACTCGATCACACAGGCAGTGGAATGATTTTAGCACTAGACCTGTAAAATATCCATAGCTGGTGCTTTGGAAGCCTTTACATGTTACCAGTTTGGTTACCTAAAATGTCACGCTTTGTAACTATTCACTCAGCGTGATTTTTTAGGTTTTACGCAAGGTATTGTGGTTATGGGCACTAAAATATAAGTGCATTTTATCATGAATTTGTTTTATAAAGCACTGCAAATATTGTATGACAAACTGCAAAAGCCATTTTATTCTCCAAGGCCTCTGCATAAAATGTTTGGGGGTTCCAAGTAATTTTCTAGCAAAAAAAGCTGATATCAGATTGTCAGATTTGGCCCGGTTGTGGTTAGTTAGAACACACATTTTATCTATATCTTCTCTAGAGCAGAGGCCTTCGAGATTAAAATTTGTGTTTTAACGGCTTCCCGCAATACTGCTACAGGGCAGCACAGGTGTGCAAAAATCAAACACAAATTTTGCATTTCTGAGTAGGGGGCACGTGCGAGTGCCCTACCTGTGCCGCTATCTGCGGCCTCGGCTGTCCATCACTGGGTTCTGGCCGGCAATTATGCGCCGACACCCAGTGAACGAGGAGGATTACCAACAGAGAACTGTGTAAACAATACAGTTCTCTACCTTGTCAGCTCCTGCACACTGCTTTGCATGGCTTTGAATAGCAGAGCCATGCATAGCAGTGTGCTTACAGTGAAGCACACAGCAAAACAGCACACAACCCTTTGATTGCCCCAGATGTTAACCCCTTCCTGCCCAGTGCCATTAGTACAGTGTTCTCTTTGTGTTACTATCCCCATTCACATCAATACTGTGATCAGTGCTAATAAAAAGCAAAGTCAGTTGCCCCCGTGTGTCAGAATGCCCACCACAGTTCTGCTATAAGTCGCTGATTGCTGCTATTAGAAAAAAAAAAAATCTCAATGCGTGTAAATGAATTTTTTTTACGTGAAAGTTAATTTTTTTGTAAGACATGTAGCGAAATACATTTTAGCCTCAATTTATGACAAATTTGTTTTAAATTGTTTACTGGATATGTTTAATAGCAAAAGGTCACTTTTTTGCTCAAAATTGTTGGTTTAATAGCACAAAAAAAAACCCCGCACGCACAGGCGATCAAATGCCACCAAAACAAAGCGTTTGAGTAAATTTGGGTGTAGCATTGCATGACCCCACAATTGTCAGTTAAAGTAACATTGCCATAATGCAAAAAATTGCTTGGTCAGGAAGGGGGGGGAAATCCTCTGGAGGGCAAGTGGTTAATACAAATTTTTTTTGTATTTGAGCTGCAGTATTCCAAATACAAATTTTGGAAAAATACACCAATACATTTTGGGGAACATAAACCGTTCCCAATTTTTTATAAAATATAAGATGTTATGCTGAGTAAACCAATACCAAGCATGTCACAATTTAAAATTGCACACGCCTGTGGAAAATCATTAAACTATGGTACATTAAAAGCCTTTACAGTTTAAATTGCTGCCTATGGAAAATTTAGAGTTGCAAAGTCTAGCACTAGAATTACTGCTCACTCTGTTGCAGCAATACCTGACAAGTGTGGTGCGGGTGCTGTTTGCATATACCGTATTTTCCAGCGTATAAGACGACCCCCTACTTTTCCAGTTAAAATCTAGGGTTTGAGCTATACTCGCCGTATAAGACTACCCCTCTTCCAATGTACACCAAATAAAAATTAAAAAACATCAGATTTGATTTCAGTATGATATGGTATTCCAATGATGGGTCGCTATTCCTCACACACTGACACTAATGGGGCACCATCATTGGTGTCAGTGGGGGGAGGAATAGTGCCCCATCATTGGTGTCAGTGGGGGGGAGGAATAGTGCCCCATCATTGGTGTCAGTGGGGAGGAGGAATAGTGCCCCATCATTGGTGTCAGTGGGGAGGAGGAATAGTGCCCCATCATTGGTGTCAGTGGGGAGGAGGAATAGTGCCCCATCATTGGTGTCAGTGGGGAGGAGGAATAGTGCCTTATCGTTTGTGTCAATGGGGGGAGGAATAGTGCCAATAGTGTTCCAGCATGGTGCTGCTGCACACTTACCAGCCACTCACTCGAATTTCACGGGGCGGCTCGGCTCCGCCTCCTCGCCGGTGATTGGCCGTCTGTGTGCCTTTCCTGAGCTACAGTTCTGGCGCCCAATCACCGGAGGCGGAGCCGAGCTGCCATCGAGCGGCCGAACAGAATGAAGGAGCAGCTGCGCTTCCTGGACCAGATCGTCGTGGGACCAGGACCGGAGCCACGTAAGAAACAGCAGCCCCCTGCCCACCCCTGTACTTAATGTCTCCTCCGTTGGAAAGGGGGGGGCCGCGGCACCACGCCGCCCCCCAAAAAAGTGCAGCCCCGACACCGTCATATACCGGCATATGAGACGACCCGACTTTTCAGAAGATTTTCATGGGTTAAAAAGCCGGAAAATACGGTACATGTGGGTTCCTAATTTTTTTGCTGTCCTTTTTGATCAACACAAGGGAGGAACATGCTTTTATAGCATGAACTGCAACAGGTCCTTTGAGAGGTCTGATTCCTATCATCTCTGGCCTCCTAAGCATCTGATAAAGCCAAGTTCGGTTTGATCAGATGCTGTACAGGCTGGTAACAGCTTTTAAACAAACCAAAACCAGAAGTGGTGACATCCTCGTCACTTTTGGTTTCTGGCATCACAGAAGAGAGGAGGGAACTTCCAGTTGGGTTGCATTTACTGGGAGCAGTAAAACAGAACAGCACATGTGGAAATGTTAAGCATAAACGTGACATGCATAACTAGCCCCTTCCCCATTTCTCAAATTTGTAGAACCTCGCATAACACCTCTATCATAAGCCTTGGCCTTAGTATTGCCAAGTTTAGAATTACATTTTCCAGTTAGTTCACTGCATTTGGCTTTTAAGTGTCTGCTGAACCAACTTACCAGCTTTGCTGCAGTCTACTGTGAAGGAGTTCTTCTGGCCAACAAAGGCTTTGTTCAAACCAAGACCTTTTGCGACTACTTTGCTTGCATCTGATGATACTCTAGGCAAGGCTCCTTGTTGAGTAACTGCCTCTGATTTTGTGACAGAGTCTACAAACACTGAAGAGGACTCGTGAAGACTGTGGCTTGCTACCAAGCGAGGCCCTAAGAGGAACCAGATACAACAGGTTATACCTTTAGCACTGTACACACCACAAATACATGACAGGTCAGATGTACTGAAACTAAAAATTGTCCAGGACCAGAGTCCAATAAACAATGCTCATGTTTGCAAAGAACTATACCCATTACCAATAATCCACACACCACTGAGAATGCCCTTTAAGATTGTGAAAAAAAAAAAAAAAAAAAAAAAGCACAATTGTCCCTTAGAGTGGCTGTAAAAGGCTTTTTAAACTGATTATATTTTCTTCTCTGTACATGGCAGAGCAGCCCCAAACCTCTTCTGGAGTCCCCCACTAGCACTCTAGGCTCCTCTTCTGTGCATCCCCATAGGAAGAAGTTTGGCAGCAGCAGGAGCCAATGGATCCCTCTGCCTCAAAGCCAGGGAGAGCCGCTACAGACTGGAACAATGCTGGATCAATTAACGACTGATAGCCATTTAGAGGTGAGAGGCAATACCATTACTAACATTTTTACGTTAATGTAGGGAGCGCATCAAGGTTAAAAAAAAAAAAAAAAAAAAAAAAAAAAGTTTAGTTTTTAGAATCACTTTAATGTGCTGACAATTAAAATGAAGAAATGGATTACTATAAACTTACCAGTAACCTTTGCTTTGAATGGGCTTCCTGCAATGTGATAAGGACCACCATACTTTATAGAGATCAGGTAGCTTCCAGGAGCCATTGGTGTATATGTGACCTTATAGCCCTCTGCACACTCCTGGCAATCCATTTTGACCTTAGAAGGACCATCAATTGTAACAGTCAAGGCTCCAGCACCTGCATTTGTGGTATTAACAATAAACTCTGCTGCATTTCCTAGGAGAAAAATTACAAAAAAACGTTACAAAAGTGAGGCCAAGTCAGACAGATTATACCCAACAACATTTCATGATTAATCCATGCATTGAAAGGAGAAAAAAAAAACAAACCGTTATGAGCTACCACATTGTAGCACACCCAAAGAGTAGTTCCTTCTACTGGGGCAAGAAAGAATCTGCCTCAATGAAGATAAACCAGATTTGTTACTATGGATGGCTGCCTCACTTTTCTCCAGATTCCCGTGTGCCAATTTATACATCTGGTTCCAATTATCTGTGGTCCATGGCTGTAAGCCCAACTCTGTCTAGAAAGAATTCAGAATGTATGCAGGTGTCCACTCCCCCCATCATTTCTTAGAAACCAAGATACATCCAAGACTCTTCTTGCTACTTCAACCTTATCCTCAAACTATTGAAAAAGGAATGGGTGTTTACCAGCACGGCCACCATGCGCCAGAGGACAAGATTCCCCAATTGCATATTCTACAGTATGAGAACCCAATTTAAATATTTGCATAAACTGCCTAATTTACAAAGTATCTCAGCCGTAAGGTGTATTTAGGGTCAAAAGACTTGCTTGGTTCCAGTTGCCTTACCAGTAGTGCCACCTTCTAATCCTGGACCATAAGCAGACACCATTCCTGGATCACCAGCCTGGCCAGGATCTCCCACACGGATTTTGAAGGGGCTGCCAGGGATGTGAGAGCCATTGAACTTGACATCGACAAGGTAGAGACCATTCTCACGAGGAATAAAGCGTACAGCATATTTATCTGAGAATATACAAAACAGGGGGACCCTGTGAGACCATATTGTAAAGGCAGCCACAGTAGTGACAGATTAGCAGACTAACATACAACCATTAAAAGATAAATTTCTGTGAAATAAGGAACTGTGCAAGGGAAGGGAAAATATGGGACAAAATCATGAGTATGGAACTATACTTCCAAATTTGTTTTTTCAAAAACACACACTGCCAGGACGTTCATGAATCCACACTCAGATGCTTCCCTGATTCCAGGTATTGGCAGTTGATTTGTTGGGTGGTTGGATACAAGTTGTCAATAACAGCTTGTTTTAATTGCACAGAAACCGCAAAAATCTCCTCAGTAGCTGTAAATGGCTTTTGTGATTTGCCATTTTGTCTCTGAAGTTACCAGTACAATGTTAAGACAGCAATAACTTGGTTTTACTTTTAAAGTATTAGTGATTAAGATTAGAGTGTTTCAACCACACGGTGAAGGGAATATGAGGACATATTTGGCAATCAACTGGGGGTTTTAACAGACATTAAGAACCCCTGACTAAATTATGCATAATCCAGACATGCCAACCACTTTATGGCCCTTTCCTGTATAAAGCTAGCAATACACTGACTGAAATGTAGCCAGTCCAGAAGGAACCAGCGGATTTAAAGTTAGTTCTCCCACAAATAGGTGGTTAAGACTTCAAAAAAAGGAACAGGTTGGAGAACTCAATCAGTGGCCGCAATAAATACAATGTCCAGGCAGGGGGGGGGGGGGGGGGGTTGAACTTGTGCCTGGACAGTGGTTAACTTGACCTCCAGAGGCTTTACCCCCCCCTTAATGACCAGGCCTCTTTTTGGTACTCTGCGTTGCACTAATTCAACTGATAATTGCGCAGTCATGCAATGCTGCATCCAAACGAAATTTACGTCCTTTTTTTCACACAAATAGAGCTTTCTTTCGGTGTAATTTGATCACCTGTGCGCTTTTTATTTTTCACGCTATAAACAAAAAAAGGCCAAAAATTTTGAATAAAAACGATATTTACTTTCAGCTATAAAAAATATATAGTAAACTCAAAGTTGGTTATAAATTTAGGCCAAAATGTATTCTGCTCCATGTTTCTGGTAAAAAAAAAAAAAAATCCCAATAAGTGTATATTGATTGCTTTGTGTGAAAGTTATAGCGTCTACAAACTATGGTATAGATACTGCAATTTAAGCCATTTTTTGCTATACAGCGCTGCGCTAGTTTAACGGACAATTGCGCGGTCATGCAAAACTGTGCATAAATGAAATTTACATCTTTTCCCACAAATTGAGCTTTCTTTTGGTGGTATTTGATCGCCTGTGCGGTTATTTTTTTGCGCTATAAAAAAAAAAAAAAAAAAAAAAAAAAAAGACAATTTTGAGGAAAAAAAAAAAACCAAAAAAAAAAAAAAACCACTTTGGACTTGCTATAAAACATGTCCAGTAAAAAAAAATATAAAAAAAAATTTAAAAATCAAACTTAGTCATAAAAATTTCTGCCAAAATGCATTCTGCAACATGTCTTTCCTAAAAAAAAAACAAAAAACCCCCATACGTGTAAATTAATTGGTTTAAGTGAAAGTTATAGCGTTTACAAATGGCGGGAAAGATACTGGGATTTTTAGTTTTTTTTTTTTATACTAATAATGGCGGCGATCAGCGACTTATGGCGGCGATCGGCAACTTATGGCAGGACTGAGGCGGACATTCTGACATTGGGAGGTACTGACTTGGGGTCACTGACATCTTCTGTCCTGATCAGCGCGTCCTGGAGCTGTCAGGGAACTGACAGAAAGCACAGCTACTGCAGCTGTGTCAACGATTGCCGCCGATCGCCGGGACATAGCCGGTAACAACTGGCTGTGACCAGCGGTCGACATCCGCGGTTGTGATCAGCGGGACAGGCGCGGCGCCAGCGCACCTCGTGCGCTCCTCCTACCAGTTTTTAAAAAACACACGTTTTAAAACGTGCTTTTGCCCAGCCGCGCCGCCATATTTCTACAGTGGCTTGGTGGCATGTGGTTAAAAATGGTCCAAAGTCAGTCTAAATGGACAACTTTCACAATACTAAAACTGCCTGTAGAAACAGACATAAGCCTCTTTCAAAGACTTACTGTATTTTCACAAGACTAAATGTCTTTGTCCCTACTAGCAGTTTCACTGGGAGGAGTAGAGGTGAATTTCACTTCTATAGTTACATACTTCCGCTCTTTTTTTTTTTTAAATCCGGTCTTGAAATAATGTTACCACTTGGCATAAAGTGGAACAAAACCTGATCATGTCTAGTTCTGGATGAGTTAAATTTTACAAAAAGCCTTAGTACTACCTATATTAATGCACCCATATAGGCTCACCTTCATCAATTTCCGTCACCCAGCATTCCTCCAAAGCCCCAGAGGGACTGTGAACTTTGGCATCTAGAACTCCTTTGGCACCATTAAGACTTACTGCAAAAGAGGCTGGCTGGTTGACCTTTAACCCTGACTCCTAAAAGCACATTAAAAGGTTTAGAGAAAACAAACAGCAATGCAGATTAAAGTTTAGCAAGACAGATTGGCAAAACATCCACAGGCTTGATACTCACGTGGCCCAGCCTGGTTTAAAAAGGGAAAGGACGTTGTTTCAGGAGAACCTGACCGTGGCATACTGTTTATGCAAGGAAAGTATCAAGACTTTTAGAAGCTCATGGTTTAAATGGTTTGAGACTACATAGTTTGACTGAACTAGGATTGCAGTTCCACACCAGCCAATTTACTGTACTTTAAAACAATGGATCAGACACTGAGGTAGGTGGTCAGTTTAGTGATCATATATGTCAGTATGAGGCAAAGTATAACTGGACATTCCCATCAAAACAGAAGTCTGCTCCTTGTTGGGAAGGTCAACTGAAAAGCAACAATACACTACACTTCGGCAGGAGCACCTTTAAGGTCTGCACATAATCTTGCTTGGCAAACCAATCTGATCAAGGTTTGAGACCAAAACGAATATCACCACTACTAGAGTTAATCTAAGCAAATTGGCACATTTTAGAAGGACCAGATTCTGAGAAGTTGATTTGGTATTGTTCAGTCAACCATGTTACCAGTGTGGTTTATGAAGCGATGGGCTGCAGTTGCAAGCATGAAGAGAAGAGTGGAAAAGCAGGACAAAAGATTGCCCAAGTTTAGTGCTTCGTCACAATAAGCCACAGTCATGGTTCAGATCCTCGATCCTCTCCCCCTTTAAACATAGGACAGGGTACAGCAGTGAAGTCAGGGCCTGTTTGAAGCCTTTAAGAAAGACACGAGAAAAACACATGGAGAGCCTCCTGAGTCAGCTGGGGAGGAGTTAAACGTACATTAAAAAAACCCCATCAGGATAGAAATATGGGAGCTGCCACCACTGACCTTTAAAGCTCCAAGCTCCTGGGTATTATCCTCATCACAATTGGCAAGTCACTTAGCCAGTATACCATGCAGCTAGTGAAGAGTTCAAATAAGCAGATACTGGATAGTGGCTTACCAAGGACTGGTGAAAGGATCAGATTAACAGTCATGAAGCCTGCATTTTCACAGTCCACAAAGATCCAATTTTTTTGTATTCCGAGAGGTTCTACAGGGAATTTGGAAATTTACCATTACAAAATGTGGACTGTTCAGCAATTTAAAGCCCCCACCTCATTAACGTCCACAGAAGAGCAAATGGCTGTGTGTAGCCAATGCTCTTGTCTAAAATCACCTGCATTCTGTATTGGCTGTTGGGGAAAAGCTGCCGATGACACCCATTGGGTTCTAAAAATATCACTTAGCACCTTCTCTATCCAACTCAACTTCAGGCTACTGTCGACAGTAGCACAAATGGCCTACCTCAAGTTGAAAGACTACTCTTCTAAACTCAATTTAGTCAAAACGAGAAACAAATGTTGAACTACCATTTCTCTAGATAGCAGCAGAAACCATCAGCTTTTACTCAGTTGCATTCTTATTGGTTTTCTGCTTTTACAAATGTTTATGTATTCTGGGGCAACTGCTTGTAGCAGCCTACATAAGGATTAAGTCTTTTGGTCGGAAGGTGCAAACTCCACGGTGCAGGTGCATGCAGTCAAGCTTGTTCCTGTACATCAATACCTCAATTAGATTGAGTCATTTAATCCATATGCTTTAAGATAGTCCTTCAAAGCTACAGAATCAGCAGCCCAAGGATCCTATAGAAGGGATGAACCCCTATGTCACTACATAGTAGAACCAATGCTGACCATTTATAGGAATAGGACTCCTTGCAGCGCACCTACTGAAGCAGTCTTTGGGCAGACATGTTTGCCCACCACTTCAAGACCTTCAACAAAATCCCTGAACTGTAAGCCAACAGCAGGAAAAAAAAAAAAAAAAAAAAATTTAGGGTATCAATACGACAGCTGCTCAGGAGGCAATTTCTCTGCCCAATCATTAAGGGCTGAGGTTTTTCCCAGTGCCTCACCTGAAGACTAGAAACAGTGAGTCGGCGAGCGTCATCTGAAGTTGAGCCTACTGGAACCACAAATGGGCTGTCTGGGATGTGTTCATCATTAAACTTGACAGAAACTTCATAATCTCCTAGAAAACAAAAAAAAGTGCATTGAGTAAGGTATTCGCCAAGCTGGGTCCAAGGCATAAACAATATAGATGAAATTGAGTAACTTATGGGTGTCCCTTGCCCTGCACATAACTAAAAATTCATACATGTTTTTTTCCAAGTTACCATATGCAGCCAGCTATTACTTTTCTAAAAGAAAAGAAAAAAAAAAAAATCATAATGCACATTTATCTGTATTAAATACCTGGCTCCTGCACAATATAGGACACTCCACAAGATCCATCTTTTCTGTCTTCAAAGGCAATTTCAGCTTTGCTGGGTCCTTCCACGGCAATGGACAGACCTCCAGCACCAGCTTCTCGTGTCCAAATACTGAACTCCGCTGCAAAAAAAAAAAAAAACAAAAAAGAAAAAAACACAAGTGACTAAATTGACTACCAATACACATTTAGACAAAAAACATTCAATCAAATCCGACTAGTCTTTACGCTAACCACTTAATAGAAGATCAAAATTTTCTCTACTCCAGGACACCACTTTCCTCCTATGGCAAGGACGGCTATATAAGGATTAGAAGGCAATTTCAAGGGTTTATCATGTGAAACAGAAAAGGCTATTTTGATACCAGTTTACATTGCTCAGCTGAAGGATTGTGTAGACCGAATGCACAGAATGAACCCAGTTTTTTGAACTTACATTTAAGGCGCAACTAAAACCCTTTTGTCCCTTACAGCCAAAGGAGCCCAAGGTTGCCAGCAAAATAGTGTCATCTATGGCCTGCTTTAGCCTCTGACTTGCAATGGCCATGGTCCTATGACACAAGCCATCTGATGGCTTGACAGTTTAGTTTCAGAGCAAGCATAAGCACACTAGTAATACATCACCCAAGGCAGGCCTTGAATGCAGTTTATGGAAACCATTTAACGTAGAAATAAACCCACAAATTTAGGTGTCCATGCTTGGCATTTTAAAAAAGCTAGACTGTTTGATGAGTTGGCAGCATTTGCAAGTCTTTAAAGTAAAAGCATTGAAGTAGACTTCTGCAACTAAATTTCACTTTGACTTGGTGAAGCAAACCACAACAGCCAGTTGGAATTTACTGATCTTCTCCAAATGCTGAATCCTAATAAAAATGAGTGGTTCAGAGTATGATCAACCAGTTTTGGTAAGAATAAGCAGTTATGAATTGCCTGTGCCGGCTATTAACAGCTATTCAAAAATGCACTAAAATTACAGTGGTCACGAAGCACATTTGACATTTCCATATCTAGTTTTTGTTTATACACAAATCATACTAGACATGTCACGTACCTGGGGTTCCAACCTCAGCTCTCTCCAATCCAGGCCCACCAGCTCTCACTTTGTGTGCTCCTCCTTCACCCAGAGGCCCCACAGTGAACTGGAAGGGACTGCCTGGCACATGCTGGCCCTTGTACTTTACACTGACTGAGTGAACTCCCATCTCCTTTGGAACAAATCTGATGCAGTAGGTGTTGTTCTCGCCCTCCATGATTTCTGCATCGTGAATCTTGCCAGATGGACTAGTGACCTGTGCGGTCATGTCATGGATGCTGATTTCTGAAAGGAAAAAAAAATGTTAAGGTTTAATGGTTCTCCATGCAGCTTTTCTGATTATATATAAAAAATACTCCTCTGCCCTAGCCTACAGACTGAAAGCAAAGTCACAATCGCTTGCAGCCATGGTTATTTCTACTCCCATCATGTTCCCTTTACTCTTCCATGGGTTCTTGCATAAAAAAAAAAAAAAAAAAAAAAAAAAAAAAAGGGACACAGGAATGGGAAGTCAACGTGGGAACTAAAAATTAAGCTGCATCTTTGAATACTTTTCCCAGTCTCTGTACTAACAGCATTTTATATATACATACAAAAGTCTACTCAATCTGGAAACCATAATTCATGCTGTTCCACTCATGGGCAGAATTACACCCAGACACCCCAGACTTAGTACCTTATTTTACGGTTAAGCCGAGTAGGATCAGATTGGCTGCAATATACTGGCTGCATTTTACACTGTTTATTCTAACAGCTGACCAAAGTGGACCTATACTTTAAGTCCACCAAGTTTGCCCTTCTAACAGGGAACTAGCACAGTTCAAAGAAAAAAAAAAATACATTTTCAGAATAGAATCCGCTAAACACTCGCATGGGACAGTGCCAAGACACATGCACTTCCTATAGATTCAGCTTTTCAGGAGACAGATATACCCTTAATGCTGCTCCTGATTTCTGGACTGCATTAGTGACAAGGGGGTGGTCTAGGAGCAGAATACTTTTTTGATACTATACAATGGATGGAAAGTATCCATTGCACAAAACCACACTGCTGAAGGTTTAGTGCTGGTTCACATATGCGGATTGGACATCATTTGAACCATATCCAATCCACATAAAACACAACACAGGAAAAACATTGCTTCCTATGGCAACCGTTCACATGTCCAGTGCACTGTGGTGCAGATTCAATGTGGTTTGAAAAAGTCATGTACGATGTAGGAGCAGTGCCTTCAGGTTCAGGTGAGGATTACAGGCTATTGACTGCTATGGAAAACATTTCTAAATCGCGTAGTGTGTTCTACTGTCCCCTCCCAACTCCTACTCAATCCTGGTCTGTCAGAACCCCAGCGCCCTATTGTGGCATCTGGGCATCATGTGACCTCCCAAAGCTACAGTGCTTGAGCAGCCAAGTGTAGAGTACGCACTTTAGTCTCACTTTTTCAGAGCACCTGTAAACTGAAACATCCAAGTATGGAGATGCACATGACATCCAAGCCTGAGCAGTCAAATGTAAGGTCGATACTTTCATATGGGGAGAGGAATCCGGTCATACTCATCCAAGTGGGTAAGCTTTGACACTGCAGAAAGGAGAC